ACCAGGGCGGGGCAACCACGTCACTGCGTTGTGATGCTGTATGTGGGGAATGGGTCTGAGAGGGAACAATGTCACCTGCCCTGCTGTCTGCCGGTTTTCAGTCACTTCCCCTGCCACTCACAATCAAATTGGGCCCTTCTGGTGCTGATTCCCAGGTGGGTGGGCTTGCATACATTCCTGTGGGTCTCTCCAACGAACTCTCCTGTGAGGCTGGGAGTTTCTCCTGCTGCCTCAACCCCCACAGGTGTTTTCAGTCAGAGGTTTGGGGCTTTATTCCCTGTGCTGGAGCCCTGGGTTGTGTGGTCTGTCCTGCTTCCCAATTGTTCCTCCTGGTTTATCTGCACGCGAATGTGGGACCACTGGGTCCACCTGCCGCTGCCTCACTGAGTCCGCCAGTCACTGCCTTGCCGCTGCCTTGCCGTGAGTCCTCTCCGCCTGGCTGCCCATCTCTGCCCCTCCTACCGGTCTGGATAAATGATTCTTCTTTAACTCCTTGGTTGTCAGACTTCCATACAGTTCGATTTTATGTCAGTTCTGGTTGTTTTATTTTTAAGTTTGTTGTTGTCCTTCTTTTGGTTGTGCGAGGAGGCACAGTGTGTCTACCTATGCTTCCATCTTGGCTTAAAGTCTTTTTGGTTTTTTTTTTTTTGAGAGAAATATCACATGTACCCCAACCAGGAATTGAACCCACAAACTTTTGGTGTAAAGGATGACACTCCCACCAACTGAACACCTGGCCATGACACACATGTTTTTAAATGCAGTGCCTAGAACTTAAGACAATATTTCAGTTGAGCCCAGAAGTAGAGCTTAAGTGGGTGAAAAAGGCTACAAGGGGAATGAAGGACATTGCCCACACCTTCCCCATCCCCACCCCTGCTTCTGTCTGAAGACTAGGATAAAATGCCTTCACAGAAGCCATAAAGCCCCCCTCCCCAGCTCAGTGTCAAGGCACAAGGTCAGCCGGGTTGGGCACCTTTGGGTACCACCAAGGTTAGCAGCTCTGGTCTTAGTAAAGAATCTCTTCCAACATCTCAAAGTCCCTCGGGCTGTTTCTAACTTGCTGTGGCAACACTTCTTTTCATAATCAACTCTGCAGTCTCTATTCATTGTAGGAGGTTATTTTCAGCCCAGTGGATAGCATATTTGCAAAATATTATGCACACAATGGCCTGTGCCTCTCCTATCTACTTACCTCCCTTTGAATTTCCTTCTCTCCTCTGGCATCGGTGCTTTGGATTCCTTTGCAGCATTCCAGCTCTTCTGCTACATAAAGCGAGAATGTAAGCCTGTACACTGTTAACACAGTAACACCTCACTTTTGTAGAGAGCTTTTACTGTCCCATTCCAATGTCTTAGCTCCTCTTCACACTCTCCCACGCCACCGTCCCTGCAGGAGTAATCTCTGGGGGTGGATGCTCAGGGACACGTCTGGCCTGGCTAAGGTGGAAGTGGGCACAGTGGTAGTCATCTACAGTCACTTTCTCCACTATTCTCTCATTTCAGCCTTTTAAGGCCAGAGGTCACAGAGCACAGCCCAAGCTTAACCCATTCCAAACAGATGAGACCCCTTGCTGCCAGCTGAGCATTCCACAACTTCCCCCAAGGCCTCAGCAGCATTGAATGGCTCTCACTCATCAGGAAACGAAGGCTTCCTCTCCCCACCCCTCCCTTTTTAACTCTTAATTCCGTGCTCCAATTCTATGATTACATCTTAAACTTCTGATAAGTAATTCCCTTGCTTAACTTCAGTAGGGGAAACGTACACCTGGAAACAGAAGGAGAACTATTTTAATGAAAATAAGTGGTGGAATGAAGTATTGCCAGGAAACACCGCCCCCCTTCCCTGCCACTCGCTGAAGCAGGGTCAGTCAGGGTTGTCTGGAGACTGTGGGTGGCGGGGGAGGGGGGGCGGGGGGGAGTGGTGAGGACTCTGAATCTGGGTGAGTCCCTGCAGCCATTCATTCAGTGGGGCCTTTTACATTTCCATTCTCTACTTTAAATAATAAGGTGGTTTCACTGATCTCAGCAGGGAGACCTGTTAGGAGTGTGAAGGTGGGGACCCTGGTACGCTTTTCAGTGGCAGTGCCTACAGACACACATGCCTGAGAGAGACAGTGACGGCTGGCTGCTGTGGCCAGACCTGAGAGTCACAGTGAGGTGGCAGAGGAAGCCCCTGGCCTGTCTGGCCTCCTCAGGGACGGGCGTGGGCAGGAATTGCTGGCGAATGAGTCTTCCTGCCCTAGGCAAGCCCATCCACTAGGCAAGGCAAGGACAACTGATGGGGACAAAAGCCTTACCTGTAAAGGAGGTTACTCACTCTAGCTTATAAATATCTTTCATAATAAAAGCATCATCGGATTACAGAGCCATGAACCGACACATTGTGCTGGGCTGCTGCGGGTGCTGTTTCTCTAGCTGGAAATGCACTTCATCCTTTGGTAGTTGGGGCTGTCCACAGGGTGTGGAGTTATGATCCACTGTCTGCAATTATTAATTTATGCTCATTCTCTGCTACAAAAACAGCTGTCTTGGGCCGACTCTCGTGACACAGGTGAGTGCCCACCACCAGCGGGCTACCCACTTCAGGCCTCATTCTACTTACCCTGCCTCAACTGCCTCATTTACTCTTTCTATCTCGACTGTTAGCAACCGGCATTTCCACGATTATAAGATGCACCATCAGTTTAACAATATCCAGGGGTGGGAAGGGGAGGGGAGAATCGCTCTCATACTGCATGTACGACATCTATTATCAGCTCACAGCTCCACCTCACAGCGGAAGACCTCCTGATCCTCTGAGATTCATCTTACAGTCCTTCCCTGTTCACATCCTTTCCCAGCACTGGCCACTCCCTTGTGTCACAACTTGCACATGCTGTCACACCTAGCACAGTCATGAAGTCCAGGCTGTAAGCAACTCAAGGGCAGAAACTGTCGTATTTGTCTCTATTCCCAGGGTCTAGCCCAGTGTCTGCCATTCATTCACTCTATAAAGGTTGACTGGAGACCTACCATGTGCCAGGCACACTCGCAGACTCACAGTTGGTTGTTAAACGGAAGAGTTTTTAGCAAACACCAGCTCCACAGTGACATGGGGGACAGAACACGGGCGTGTGACCGTCCCTTCAGCCCTCCCCTGATTAGGCGGAGACGGGAGCGGTGTGTGAGCTGTGCCACCTCTGTGAGCTCAGGCCGCTGGAACAAACACCGGAGACCGAGCGGCTCAGGCGACAGACACTTAGTTCTCACAGCTCTGGAGGCTGGGAAGTCCAAGATCAAGGTGCCGGCAGATCCTGTTCCTGGTGAGGGCCCTCTGCCTTGCTGTGTCCTTACAGGGCAAAGGAGAGATCATCTCTCTCTGTCTCTCTTTACAATGGAACTAATACCAGTCCTGAGGGCTCCATCCTCAGGACAGAATCATGGCCAGACCCGCCGCACGCCCAGGTCCCATCTCCAAACACCACTGGAGATTCAGGCTTCAGTATACGAATTTGGGGAGGGACACAAACACTCACTTCACAGCATGTCCTGAGAGAAATGTGATTAAGCACCGAAGTGTGTGGCTCAGACATTCAGTGCTATGGGTCGTTAAGAAAAGATCTGAGGGGCCCAGCCTTACTCTTCTTTGCAGCTCCAGCATCTCCCAAGGACGAACATGAGGCATAAATTTAGGGTTGATTGAATTAAACTGCCCAAAGAGATTCTAGAGGATTCTGTGGGGCGGGAAGTGGCAAAGAATGGCAGGGTGAGCGCACAGCACGAAGAAAGGCTTGGTGTCAGGAATGAATTAAAAATTTGTATTATGTTGGGATATAGATAACACAGAATTTACCATTTTAACCAGTTTACGTGTCCAGTCCAGTGGCACGAAGTACAGCCCCATTGTTTTGCCACCAGCGCTGACTTTCTAAGGATCTCTCTCATACACGCGTCGCACACACCTGGCTGACCACACGTTCGTGGGAGAAACGGTGCGTCCGAGGGAAGGCAGAGCTCTCCCCCCCACCTGGGCAGTCCCCCCCCACTGAAGTCCATGCTTTGCTTTGTGTGCATTAACCAGAGGCTGTGGTGTGGAAGGGTGGGGCGCCAGGGCTGCCCCCTGTGTCTTTGAATCACCCTTGTGAAGTTTTAAACAATGGACACTAATCCCCCCCACCACTGAGCCTTTTGTATTCAAATCAACAGCAGAAAGCCCTATTGTGGGGGAAGAAAGAATCTTGACTGGCTACCAGTCGTGTCTACTCAAAGCACCAAATGTAGTCTCAGGAGGGCATTCCCTATGACGTACTGCAGCTATGAATACACTTGGATGTTGTCTTTCTTTGTTTTAGTTTTTCGATGAGTGTGTTTGTGTCAAGTATTCTACTTAGTGCCAAGGCACCCCAGAGAGGGAAGAGGGCGGGCCAGGGAAGGCGAGGCCCACCCAGAGGCAGGGCAGTCAGTACAGCCTGTGATACCTGGGGCCTGGCCTTGTCAACTTCGCTGCCAGCCCTGGGGCAAGTCACCTGAACGTGTAAGCCCACGGAACCCTGCAGAGGTCGGAATCCACGGCTTTGAAAGTCCTTCCACCTCCGTCCTATCTGAATAGTTTTTAACAAGGGTCTATCTGCTCATCAGTGGGGAGCTCACCCTGGGACCAGAGGGTGACTGTGCTGGCCCTTTGCCGAAGGAACAGTGGACGGGCGTGGGTGACTCCACCGTGGTGGAACGCAGGGTGTCCCGGAAAGGAGCTCAAGTGATGGGATTTCCAGACCAGTCTTCCCACGGCCAACTTTTAAAGGTCGGAGGAAAGTTTGTCGTGGGGCAGGGGCCGGAGAGGAGTGCCGGGTGGGCTCCGCCGTCTCCTCCCCTTTAAGCGGGGCGGCCCGGGCTCCCTCCGTTACCTGGAGCGGGGAGGGGCTTGGGAAAGTTTGTGTTTGTTGCTGGCAAAACGCCCGATGGGAGGCGCGGGCGGGCAGGCAGGCGCTGCGGATCTTCCCTTTTGCTTTCGGGAAGCGGCTGGGGCTGCACGCTCAGCACGGCGGGGCGGCTCTGGCGCCCCGCTCCCGGTGCCCGGAGGGCCGGAGGAGGGCGGGAAGGAGGTAGGCGGGGGGCGGGAGTGAGGGGCCCACGTACGCCCGGCGCCGGGATCGCTCGGCTGGCGGGGAGAGCGGAGCAGGCGCGAGGCCCAGGCGGAGGAGCGCTGACTCCGGAGCAGCCCGAGCAGCCGGAGCTGGAGGAGGAGGAGGAGGCGGCGAGGAGGAGAGGCGGCGGGGAAGGAGGAGGAGGCGGAGAGTCGCTCCCGCCCAGCGAGCATGGGGTGCCTGGCGCCCAAGCCGCTGCTGCTGGCGCTGCTGTCGCTGGGTGAGTGTGCGCAGGGCTCGGCGGCGGGGCACGGGAGGACCGGCGGGGCCCGGGGGCGCTCGGCGGGGCGCGGGGGGCGCTCGGCGGGGCGCGGCTGTGGCGCGCGGCCTGGGGCTCCGAGGGGGCCGGGGCCGCTCCTGGGAGATCGGGCGGGGTAGGCGGGCTGCGCACCCCGGCAGAGAGCGGTCGGGGGCCACCGGGAGCCAGGCGCGAACCGGCCCGGCTGCACACGGGGCGTCGATCCTCGCTCCACTAGGCCGAGCCTCGCCCCCCACACGTGTGAGGGGAGTGGCTCAGGACCGGTCGCCCCCGGCCCTCCCTACCTGTTGGCCTCCGGGAGCTCAGCTCACCTTGAACTCCTGGCTCGGAAGGTGCCAGCGGTCCCTGGCCAGTGTCCTCAGCTTGGCGGCGGTAATAGGTGCCTTTGATCTGCCCAGCCCTGGCTGAGGCCGGCTGACTCGCTCCTCACACACACCCCGGGCTAAGTCGCCTTTCTAGGGAAGCGGGAGAATGCACCAACTTCCTTCCATGAAGGTCTGGGGCGGCCCAGAGCGCGACAGCACGAATCGGTGTGCGAGTCCTCTGTCCTGTTCGCTGTGGCTAGAGCTGCTGCCTCTGGCTTATGCTGTATTTCTTCTTGAAGGTGCCTCCCTCCATATTTACACAAAGACCTAGGAGCCTTGGCTCCTCCAACTTTTCCTACCTGTTACTTTCCCTTCCTTCAGTGGGTCCCTGCCTTCCCCCCTCCCCAGGCCCTGGTGCATCGGGATAATTTGGCCCAGCACCCTCCCCCAACCGAAGGAATCTTTGGTGGGTTTTTTCTTCTCCGTGTTCCTTTTATTCCACACACACAGGCACCATCTTCACATATACATATGGTTATATTAAGTGGTAATATAACCACAGGAATACATCTGTTTATTAAGTGCCTGCCATGGTGCCCGGGGCTGACCCTTAAACGCTGTGGGATTCTTGGACCCTTTTGGTCTCTGGCAACCAGAACAGAATGAATCCTCGGACCCCACCATGGGTTTCCTTCCAAGCCCCTTGGGAAGACACATCAGAGTCTTCTGTGGAGCGCGTGGTGTGTGGTGTCTGTCCCAGCCAGGCCCCAGCTGCACACGGGGTAAATGACTGCTTTGCACTTACGGTCAGAGGGTCCCAGTGGAGGCCTCCACAGCCACTCCCGCCCTGCTGGCACCCGGGCTCACTCGGCCCCGCCCCCTCCCCCCCCAACTCCTGCTGAGGGGCCAGCCTTTCTAGCTGCTACTGTTTTCTTCCTTCATCCCCCAGGGGGTTTTTTTGGAACTCACTCCCCAGGAGAGCTTATCCGGCCACATTGCTTCAGCTGCAACCACGTGCAGGAAGCTTCCAGATCTTTCACTTAGTTCTGTGGCGTTTCTTCTGTGTCCTGGGGTCCTGGCGCCTTTATTCTTTCCCTTTCCTCTGGGACCCGTGTAAGATCGATGTGCGTCCCCAACTGCTGGCGGCTGTGTAGATCTAGTGTTTGTGTAGATCTGTGCACTGCGCAACTCCAGAGTAGCTGTTCACTTTACAGTCCATGTCAGAACGACGCCCCCTAGAGTTGTGCAGGTTGCAACCTGCGGACCAGTTCAGGTGTTGGGAGCAGGTGCAAGTCTGAAAAACAAATGTCCTTGAGCAACTCTGACGAGGGAGAAACAGGGAGAGGAAAGGGGCGGAAGAGAGGCCGGTAAAAGCAAGAACAGAAGTGGGGAAAGGAAGGGAAGGGAAGTCTCACTCGTGTACCAGTGAACCCTGCCGGCCCTGACTGGGCATCTCACGTTAACTACACACAGGGAATGTCTGTGGTGTCATCAGCCAGTGCCTCTCCTCCTAACGGTTTCTTGAACTTGAACCATGGGTAACTCTGTCTCTCACTCGGTGTGGCTTTAATCTGACCTCTGGGATGCCCTCCCCGTAACACTCTGGCACTGTCCTGATTCCCGAAACGTAATATGCTGATAAGCAAGCTCATCTTCCCTCTTGTATTGCAACTTGGGCATAATCTCGCTGTCACTGTCTTTGACCTCCGGGTCCACACTGTCCCTCAATTCTGTGGCTCCTTCTACAGTGCAGACTCCAGCTTCTTGCTGTTCTTCCTGTTCCTCTAGCTAGTCGTCTGGCCCAGGTTCTGACACTTCTTCACGCGGTTGGCTTGGTCGACGTTTCCTTCAGCTCCCGTTCTAAGTTTATTATTTTCCTACAAGGGTGAGTTTTGGGGAGGGGCATTCTTCGCATGTTGGTTCTTTATGATTTTCTTACAAGGACACGCGCCCCGTGTGTTCCCTCCCCTCCGGTCTTCCCTTGGATTTAGACACTTCGTTCTAAATAACCTGTTTGCTCTCCTCTGCCTAGAATATCTGTGAACTTTCTGGCATTATTATTTCGCTTGGCCTTGGAATGCCCCTCCTGCTTCTCTGCTCTTGCCCATGTTTTTCCTTTTCCCCAAAACTGACTGCCTCCGGGAAGCTTCCCTAACTGAGTCTAACTGTCACCATCGCATCGGAGTCCACTCAGCCTCACTCACAGAGCGAGTGTGTGCTCCCAGTGCCTGAGTCTGACTTACCTCGCTTACCCGGTCAGTACAGTACAGCACTTCTCAAGTGTCCAGCAGACTCGGTGAGAGCGTCCAGACAGATGCCTCACGGAGTGGCTGGTGGAGGTGGGCGCACAGGGAGTAAGACGGCTAACTAACTGCAGGGCGGAATGGAAGACCTACAGAGAAACTGAGTGCTGGCAGGAAGCAAGGAAGAGCATGATTCATTTTGACCCGGGATGGGGGTTGATGTTGCTACAGAGGTAGAATTTGGGCTGAGCCTTGAGGACAATAAGAATTGTGAAAGAAGGGATGGAGGGGCATTCCAGGCTCTGGGGAAAGGCATCAAGTGTGGATGAGTGGCTCCTTCAGAAGGGGCATGAAAGGCCCGCGTGACAGGAGGCAGGAGGGGGGTGGGTGATGGGAGAGCAAGCTGGGAAGGAGGGCTTGGGGTGGATGAGGAAGGCTTCCGGTGCTGTGTTGAGGAGTCTGGACCACGAGGGGCGGGTTTGTTGGCCTTGTGGGCTCTGCCAGGCAGCCTGTGCCCTTCCCATCATCACACTTCCTTAGGTCACTCTGTGTCATTGTCTGTTCCTGGCCGAAATCCCCGCTCTGATTGTAGCACCCATGTCAGGGACTGTGCTGGTCTTGTTCACTGTGGTATCACTGTTACTAATAGGGTGCCTGGTGTGCAGTCAGTGTGCAGTGAAAGTGGGCTCTGAACACATGTGTATATCCCTTTATCTGTGGGTAATGGGCAGCCATTGAAAGTTCGCACAATGCGGCATTCTGTTTGAGGAGGCAAATCCTTGCTAGTATGAAGCATGAATTAGAGAGAGTGGAAGGTATGGAGATTGTGGAGAGAGATTAAGATATTTTTCATTTGCCCTGGCTGTTGTGGGTCAGTGGATTGAGTGCCGGCCTGTGAACTGAAAGGTCGCCGGTTCAACTCCCAGTCAGGGCACATGCTGGGGTGGTGGGCCAGGTCCCCAGTAGGGGGTGTGTGGGAGGCAACCGATTGATGCTTTGTCTTACACAATGGTGTTTCTCTCCCTCTCTTTCTCCTTCCCTTCCCCTCTCTCTAAAAGTAAATAAATAAAATCTTTTAAAAAAGATATTTTTAATGTGTCTTTTAAAAGGTATTTGCAAATCCACTGAAGTGGCTTTTTAAATTTTTAATCCTGACCCGAGGACATGCTAGTTGATTTTAGAGAGAGGGGAAGGAAGGGAGAGAGAGAAACATCTCTCTGTTGCCTCTCATATGTGCCCTGACCAGGAATTGAACCCGTGTCCTTTTGGTTTATGGGACACTTCTCCAATGGACTGAGCCACACCAGCCAGGGCTGAAGTAGTTTTTAAATGACAAAAGCATTCCATCTATATTTTAAAATTCCTGTGCCAGAAAAGACTATTACATTTACTAGGCAGGCCCTACCGCTCTAACAAACAGACTGAAAGCACAGGGGTTCCGACAGTAGGGTGTCTTTCCCAACACTCCCAGGGGATGTTCCGGATGAAAAGTGTGGGTGGGACCCCCTGCCTCCCACAGCTGTTCTGACTCCCAGGCCGATGGCAGCTCCGCTGTCTTCAGCCCGTGGTGTGTCTAAGGTCACTTTGGTTGTCAATGTCACCTTTCCAGCCCCATAGAGGGTGAAGGAGCACGGAGGAGCACGTATGGAGGCTTCACGGCCAAGCCCGGAGGTGGCACACATCATGTCTGCACACTTTCCATCCCACGGAATGCGGTCCATGCCACGCTAGCTGCAAGGGAAGCTGAGAAATGCAGAGAAACCCGGCGGCCGAGTGCCAGCTGCCATAGAAGATGAGACTAGCAGGTCTGGAGGGCAGCTAGCAGTCTCTGAGTCAGTTATAAAGGACATAAGGGGGAAAACAAAGGGCCCACCCTCCCACCGCCCAAGCACCGCACTTAGGTTTAGCCTATGTGTGTCTGTCTGCTGAGTATTTGGCTTGTCCTTTCTCAGAGCTCCTGTACAGGGCTCTGCACCTAGAAGGCACAGAATGAAAATAGCAGCTATTACACAGGGTGTGCAGATCGAGTGGCAGGCTTTACATGTCCTATCTTACTTAATCCTCACAACAAGGCTTGGAGGAAGGTACCGTTATTTTCTCCCTGTTACAGGCGAGGAAACTGATGCCCAGAGCAGTCCAGGAACTTGCTCGGTGTCATCCCAGAACTCCATACTGCCTCTGCTACTAAGGAAAAGTTGGCTTGTGGTCGCTATAACCTGATGCTGTGTATTACTTGAGGTTCATTTAGTCAAAAAAGCAAAAGTGGTTTGAAAGCAAAAGTGTGGTTAAAAATAAGAGGGTTTGGGGTGAACGCAGTTCAAGCACGATTCCTGCAGCCTCTTGGCAGGTCACCACACCTTCTCCGAGAACACGGGCCGAAATGCAGCTTCCTCCAGAGAGCCCTGAGGAAGCA